CCTGGCCTGGTCTGGTCTGTCGGTCCGGCCCGGGGCGTCCTGGCGGCACCGCCCAGCCGCTGCGCCTCTGCCCGCAGGCCGTGCACGAAACGATCCTCAGCAACCGGTTCCTCATCGTGCGCGCCAAGAAGCTGCGCTGTGGACGGGAGGAGAGCCGCCGCTTCTACCGGGAGCACGCGGGTAGGAGGGCCAGGGCTCCCGGGTAGGCGAGGCCACCGCTGCCACCAGGAACATGCGGCCAGGCGCTGCGGGCGGACGAGCTTGGCCGCTGGACAGGGCCGGTGTCGGCGGAGGTGGGTTGTGTGACTCGGGCTGTCTTTCTCCCGCAGGGCGGTTCTTCTACCAGCGGCTGGTGGAGTTCATGGCCAGGTACCTGCAGTGCCCGCAGCCGGGCTACGTGGGGTGCAAAGAGGAACCTTGCTTTGCTTTGCACGTGAACCCTTGTCTTGCTCGAGCAATGCTTCTGCATCCGGAGGGGTCCACCTCGGCGTGGGATATGTCTCACCGGGAGTTGGTGCTTGTGGTGTACCGAGGGGGAAGGCTCTGGGCTCGGGGGTGGAGAAATGTCGGGAACCAACTCTGCTGTGACAACAGTAGTACTTGGTGGGGTAGCATCCCCACAGGTTGTGGGTTCCATTACCTAGGAGGAGGTCATTCATGCAAATGCTTTGCTTCTGAGCCATGGTCTCAGTGTCTAGTGTCATGGTAGGTCTGTATCCCCTCCCAGAAAGCACTGCATGGCAGTTGCACTGCCTTCCTTCTTTGCACTTGCTGTATTTATAAGAGTGAATGAGCTATGACCTTTTGTAATCTTACCTACTTCTATTCTTCCCTGGTCCTCTTCTCAGTGGCCCCATGTGGGCTTATATCTTGGCCCATGAGAATGCTGTCCCCCTCTGGAGATCCCTGATGGGACCCACCAAAGTATTCCGAGCCCGAAACAGCGTCCCGGACTCCATCCGAGGAGCTTATGGCCTCACTGACACCAGGAATACCACTCATGGCTCAGGTAGACCGGTCCTTCTTGGCTGAGTGTTGGGCAAAGACTGGAGCTCAGGGAGGCGTGAATGATGGTATTTTGTCTGCCTTTGCTTGCTTTCCATTCTGGGAGTCAAAGTTAATGATTTGCTCACTTCTGCAGATTCCACTCATACCTGTCCTGGTGCGACCGAGCCTGACGCTTTTGCTTACAGCTTCTGCCCTTCCCTTTGGAACATAGCACATATCTGCGATGCCAAATTGGCATCTCTCATCTTCTTTTCCTCTGTTTTCTAACAGATTCACCAGCATCAGCCAGCAGAGAAATTGCCTTTTTCTTCCCAGAGTTCAATGAAGAGCTCTGGTACCAGCAGGAAGAACCACGTCTGCGCTGTGGGCAGGTGTATTACAATGCAGAGGGGCGTGTCCACTGTGTGTTCAGGGATGAAGAAACAGAGTTGACCTGAGTTACCTGGGGGTATGGTTTGCTGAGCTGGAAGTAGCTGCTAGGCACAACTGTTTGGGTCAGCCCCATAACAAGACATAGAGCCATGGCATGTTTTAAGGAGTGTGGGGGAGGGAAAGACCTGATGCACATTATGTTCTGCTACCTGGAATTATGTTATTCATGCAGCATACAGGTGCTGCAGCATTTTAGGAAAAATTTCTCAAGTAGCACTACTCCAACTTGATACAGAGGTCTAGTCATGCAGTTCACTGGTCCCTCATGTGTTTATTTGGATATGAGCAGTATGTGTGAGTTCATCAAAGGGCTAGGTGGAAAGGGGGTTGCTAGTTCCAGTTAGGATATGACTGGTTTTGCTGATAGTAGGCCTCAGATTCTTAACATTTGCTCTGTTTCCACAGTCCCTTAAGGAGAAAAGAGGGGAAAAAGAATATGAAAAAATGCAGCAATGAGCAGGGCAATACTAACTCTCCTGTTCTTGCTTTCCTGGATCCAAGCTGAGAAACAAGGTTGTCTTCAGTTTTGTATTGTGATTTGTATCTTAAGCATCTGGTGGAGGGCACAGTTAGAAGCCATTCTCAAGAGGAAAGGAGCATATCCTATTGGTTCAGTTTGGTCTGGGCTGACAAGCCTGCAACAGAAGTTCTAGGGGAAGTTGCAGAAAGGTGTGGAGTAGTCCAGTACCTGTGAAGGATCTTCTATTTTGTGCTTTTAGATTGCCTGGGGCATGAGATCGGTAGTTCTGATGAAACTTGATAGTGGCTATTAGAGCTATGGATTTCTTGAATCTGTAATAAAAGGCCGGAGAAGTTAGTTTGAATGCTGGTACACAGAGGCTGTAGAATTTCTGCCAGGAGCTCTTTACACTAAGCCTTGTAACAAAATGCCTAATGGTGACTCAAAGACTTCATTGCCTATAGACTTACTGGGCATTGAAGCACTGAGTTATGTGTCCTTTGTAAATTATATGGACAAAGTCATTTAATTATCCAGATAATTGATAAAATTATTATATGATGGTTAATGAGGACTTGGTTTTGAGGTACAGTGCAAGGTTCTGACATGCTTATTTATGTTTTCCTGTTAGATGCATTTTGAGATCTGTTCCTGTGTGACTTTTTAATCTGTTTAAACTGTCCCCCTAATAGCCTCTTACAACACTGATTTTTTTAAATTAAGGTGCCATGTTGTACTGAGTGAATTTCTTTCGGATAATTTCAAATGCACTGTATTGGTGAAGGTACCTTTGTAATGTACTTGGGACAAGAAGTTTGTTAGCTTGACTCCCTTTTCTGAAGTTATGCATGACTAGCATTGATGATACTAGTCACTAAAGCTGTTGACTGAGCTGTTGATTGAGTCCCAAATTTACTGGTGCATTATTGTGTCACAGATCAAAAGCAAGTTACTCTTCGACTAATTTAAGACAACTATGTGAAACGTTGGGCATTTGATTGAAAAATGTTTTTAATTATAGGAAGTGCTGCTGTAGGGCTTCCTTGATTAAATACATCAACATTTTTGCTCCTTCCTTACTATTATATGAAATTAAATGCAGTCATTGTTTTGTTCCAGGTACAGATCAAAAGGATCTGCGGAATATTTCTGCATTTTTGCATTGCTGCTTTTATTTTCACCAGCAGTATCCAATGGTGGATCTGCTCATGATCGAGTATGTGTTTATACAGGTCTGAAATTTTGCTGTTCTTAATGCTACTGTCAATTGATATTTTATTGACTCCCTGAGTTTCTCTTGTTACATGTGTTTTTCTTGTAACTATTAACCCTTACTATTTTTTCACCTTTCTTCTTTATATTGTGCTTTCTTTTTTGGATATTAATTTGGGATGTCATTAAATGATAATTCCTAGCTTACACTTCTCATTTTAAATGTTTATTTTTTTTCTAGTCACTTGCAATTATTATATTTGGGGAAACTGACCCTTTTAAAATTTCAAGTACAAATAACACTGGCTTAGCGACACAGTGTTTTCACAGAATAATTATCAGATCACAGTCACCATTACTTAGATAGCTGCCAGTTGTTATGTCCATATTAACATTTCTTTGGTCCACCAAGACTGTACCTGAGTAGAAGTTGTCAAAACTGTGCAGTCCCATTTCCCTAGACAGAGTGTTTATTTTGCAAATCTAAAGATGTTCTGCGAACTTTATCAGATCTAATATTGAAATATTTGGTGTTAGATGCAGGAGATAGTGTCAAAAATTATTTTTAATATCAAAGGAAGCCTTTGGATTTATGAGATGACAGCAGATGTTCTCCGTTTTGAGGACTCATATGAAAGTGTTTTTGGTTTGTTTTTTTTTTTTTAATTCCCCTCCTTGTAAGTACTCAAGAAATGTTTTTTTAACTTCTCTAGTGACACTTAGCATCTGTTTTGTATATCTCCTGGTGCCTCTCGGTCCTGTGGTGAATCACCTTTGATTTTGTAACTTTCAATGGCTTTAATTTAAAACAATTTCTTGTACCCTTTCTCACTTTTCTCTTCTTGCTGCCCCTTTCCCTGTCCCTAATCTGTCTTTACAGAACAAGTTGAAACCTCTGATTATTCTTTTATTTATTTATTTATTTTACACCTGAGTCAAACAATTCTTAAATCTTGGTGATGCCT